AGTCCCATCTCCGAAACGTCGTTTTACGTTTTATATTTACTAGACGATGGATAATATCCAAGAAAATTTTTATTCAATATTAAAATTGTTCCTAAAGACCTAAGTTGTGGGATGGATTCAGCTGGCTCAGAATTGGATCCACTTCCTGGCTCTTGTGAACACAGTTGAATTAATAACAATAAAGATATAATAGTAATGATGATGATGTTAATAATCATTTCGTTAGGAGCAGCGTGTCGCTGGCGTTCTGTAGCCGTCTTGATTTCTTTCCCGATACTCGCCTTGGAAAAACAAACAGCGAATTACAAGCCTGGCGCGTTATTAATGGCTGCCAACTTATGAACTTAAAAGTAATAAACCCTCGGGCTTCGAGGCGCGGGCCTCCAAGGATTGAAAACAATAGAAGCAAGTGGAGCGTGCGGACATTAAGTATTCACAATCGATTTGTTTGTTAAGACCAATAACCGTATCAAAGAGTGGAAACACAATGCGTGATAAAAAAAGGTGAGAGATAAATTGGGGGAAATGATTTTACACTTGGCTTTGCGTGGGAACTGCCCCATCTGACTCCGCGTTACCACAAAAGGGCGGTAGCAGCGCGATTCACACGAGGAGGTGCTGATATTAAATATTAGCGGAGTGAAAGCGCAGTTCACATGAGGAAAGGAACTCGACAGTGATTCCCGTCTTTTTCTCCTGCTTGTGGTTATGAACCCGAAACGTGTTAACATTTAAAAATTATTTCCTGAGCAACACGTTTCGATTAGAATCTAGTCATCGTCAGGCTCCTTACGTATTTTTGTGCTGTGTACAGACCTAAGTCACTGCACAACGACCACAAATATTTGTAATCAGAACGACAAAATTCGAAAACGTACATCACAACAGATCCAACACGAAGCTTCACAAAAACTTCGGCCAAAGGAATTATTAAACATTTTAAATACTCAAACATGTTATCTTATTTTGTTCAATTGAATTTCAATAGACCACTAGTTAAAAATATTTTCATACAAAATATAACGAACCTGATGATGATTACTTATTTTATTTAGTGTTCTGTCTGACGACAGGTCCATATGAACAGGATCCTTCCATCCTTTTCTCGGACTGGGACCTGTTCATATACGTTCTTGGCAGATGATCCAGAAGTGGTTTGCCATTGCCTTCTTCTGTGTGTGAATGGAGAAATCGTTGGGATGCCACGGAGAAACCGGGGAAGCCCCCGGAGGAAAACTCCGTGTTGCCTAGACCACGGCCTTGCCCAACACAAGTTATAAATTCGGGCACCGCCGGGAATCGAACCCGAGACCCCAAGATTACAAGGCCAGCGTTCTAACAGCTAGACCAACTTCTGATAAGACGATTAAATAGTCTATGAAATGTTGTTCAACTAATACAAGTGTGTTCAGTAATGGTGATTGAACAGAACTACCAATTCCCTATAGTGAGTGAAGATTTCTACAACTGTCTTACTGACAGTAACACGTAACCTTCTTTCTGCTTACAAACCTAACTCTCTGCAACAGGCATTGCTCTCTTATTGAGCCCCACACAATTTTCCCTACGCGGGAGTAACGTTAGATAGTGCTTCACGCTACGTCCGTTTTACATGCGGACACAGTGGCGTTCCTCACCTTAGTGAGGCGTGCGTGCTTCCTCAAGTATCCGTTTTTGTTTTGTGAGTGGTTCTTAGAAACTCGATGAAATCCTAATTGAGTTTTATGTACTGACCTCCGTATGTGTCGATTGTGCTGAGTCGCTCGCGTGTGAACCACGCGCTGGCCGCACAATGCCCCACAAATTGAATACATGGCGTCGCTCAACGGAAATAAGTTTACATTGTGCTGTTAGCGGGCGGTAATTAACGGACACAAACAATCTCGCATCGATTTCTCTCTTGCTGCCAGGCGTACGTACATAGCTATCGTCGGCCATTTAAATCGAATTCAAAATTATGTAGCTTAGTGATCTGCGGTCATTGAAAGGCGCCTGTCTGCAAGGTTTTGTGCTGATCTCCT